CCCTGAAACTTCTCTCGTTGTCGAAAGGAACCTAAAATTCTTCGTAAAAATTCTTCGTCAACGCTAATACAGTAGCAGGCAAATGGAGAAACGTGCGAAAGACACGTCGTCGACCGTCGCGACGGCCACTTGGTCCGCGTTGAAAACGCAGCATCGAGTGTTATGGCGTCGCGCGACGATCTAGAAATACGGCGTAGAAATTTACATGGTCAAAAGTGGAAGGTCCCGGAGGTTCAATTACGAGATTGGCAACGACGAGAGGCGAGTATGGCGCGCGGACGGCCATCGCTTCGGCTGATGAGGCTAATGGATGGTTGAAACCCGAGAAGACGGGAGGAAAAAGAGGGAAAGGAATGGAGGCCAAGGGAGAGGCCGTGACAGCCGCTAAGTGCCTCATCCTTCACCCTTCCTCGCCCCTCTGTCCACCCCATAACCACGGGGAACGCTGCTGCCTCTCTGCCTACCCTGTAGGTAGCACCCTCATGTGAAACCTAATCATTTTTACCAAGTGTCACGGATATTTCGTATTACGTCTACATTAGGTTCTCCGATGTCGAACGGGGGTTTTATCCAGAGCCAAAAGCTGTCTTTGACTCTTCACCAATATGGGGGAGGTCAATTAGGGGATAAAGATGGTTTCCGAGTCGTGGATAAAGAAAGTTACAAATGGAGTTTAGAAGTTCGATTTTTGAATTTTCAATTTTTGAATTCTGGTTGTGTGGGTATTTACCGTAAAGCGCAAGCTGAGTCCTCACTCTCTAAAACTCTACTCCTCACAAACAATAGTGTAAAAAACAGCCTAGTTTTAGTTGCAAAATGAATTCATAATATAGAAACAAGGGGCCGCGGAAAACAGAAACGCCAAATTTGTTTAAAACTTGTTTTTTCGAGGCCTCGTGATGATGTTGCGCCTAGGGCCTCCCAAAGTATAAATACGGCCCTGATTTCTTAAATATTAAATTTATAATATAAAAACAAGAGGCTCTTATTTTCAATAAACTTGAAAGAAATGTATGAATTAGACTTGTTCTTTTGAGGCCTC